GCTCCCATTTTATGTAAGAAGCCATATGAGAGATTATTCTAGTGAGAGAATTATTATAAGATCCACTTTGAAATAGCTTACTAGATTAATGAAAGCTTAAACCGTTTTATTTACTTCATATGTTCTCGATATGATTTAATTCACTTTATGATTACAATTTTGCATTCATCATTATAATCGGGTCATTACAGATCTTAGAGAAGCTACATATACTCTTGGTATAAGTATATACAGGAACAGGGAGGAAAGATTACTAGGATTAATTTAGAGTACATACTTGGATAAAATATTGAAAAGGTTCAATATGGAAAATTCCAAGAAGGGATACCTACCCATGCATCATATTGTTATATTGAGCAAGGTTTAATGTCGTATGAGTAATATGGAGATAGATTCTATGAGTCGGATTTCATATGCTTCAAATATAGGATCGGTAATGTATGTTATGATGTGTACTCGACCTGATGTGGCTTTTGCTTTGAGCATGGTTAGCATATATTAGGGAAATCTTGGTTTAGCTCATTGAATGGCAGTGAAGAATATTCTTAATTATTTATGAAAAAAAGGGATATGATCTTAGTTTTTGGCAGAAAAAATGAACTTAAGGTTAGTGGATATAGTGACGTCAATTATCAATCAGATGTAGATAACTGTTATTCTCAATCTGGCCGGGTTTTCTTATTAAATGGTGAAGCAGTAACTTGGAAAAGTTCCAAGCAACAAACGATGGCTGAATCTACTTGTGATTCAGAGTATATCACAACAAGCGAGGTAGAAAAGGAGGCTATGTTGTTAAAGAATTTTATTGGGGATCTTGGAGTCGTTTCATCAGTCCAAGAACCAATGGAGATTTTCTATGACAACAAAGGTGCGATATCTTAGAAAAATGAACCTAAAGATCATGGTAGATATAGGAACATCAATAGGAAATATCACTATATTAGACATAAGGTTGAAGAGGGTGCACCCATGGTAAATCATGTATCATTGAAAGAGAATCCTGCTGGTCATCTTACAAAGGTTCTAAACATGGTCAAGCACTTTGAGCATGCTAGAAGCATTGGACTGAGAGACGATATTAGATTTCATATGTTAGTGTTGATGTTATTTTTGAAACTATATATAATTAAAATTGTAATTGGATAGTGATTAATTAAATATAGATTCTATTATATATTCAATGTGTTTGATGCTATTTGTTAATTAATTTATTACTTCATTTTGCTTTGCATGTTTTACTTCCTGGATATTAAGTTATTCGAAGCACCATGATCGGATATACTTTTGAAGTAAGTAACGATTAAATTCTGTTATGAATCGTTTGTAGATTGTCTATAGAGATTGGACATTACATTAAGATTGCTACAGAATTCATTAGTACTTGGAAATAGAGATTTTAAGTATTGGTTAAACCCGCGCTTAGAGATTACTTTATGGATTTAATAATGAGTAATTCTAAGACAATAATATGCTCTATTCTTAAAATGGATATATGTAATTCATATTTTACGAATTGGTTGTGCATTACTTTACTCTAACGCATCTCGTAACTAGGTGTTATAAAGGGTATTTCCATGTATGAATTAATGAGCGAAGTTGAAATATTATATAGTTGAAGTTTATTCATTCCTTTTGTCTTAATAGGAAAAGTGATATATTTAGGCTGCTTGGTGTTTTGATTTTGACTTTATAGTGTAGGGACCAACCAAGACTAAATTGATGCGTTCGATTGGTATTCTTATAACGTCAACACAAAACGAGATTATTAGGAAAATAAATCTTAGACAAGGGATTGATTGTAATCCATGTCTCATGTTCATATGATATCAGGAAGGACGAAGGAATAAGTGATCACTTATCTTAGGACCAACAAAGTCTGGTAGTGTCTTGAAAACACTCTTTACTGGTTATTCAGAGTTATACGAGCAATTATAGTAGTGACTTATCCAAGTGGGAGACTATTGGATTAAGGTGTCTAAGGTCCTAACTAAACTAGTATAATATTGTTGAATTTGAGTAAATCCTTTATTGTGTTACCCTCATAACCAAGAAATTGCTTGGAATGATTTTAGAGAGAGATAAATGAATTATTAAAATATTATGTGACTAACATATTAATTACAAATAGTTATAATTAATTTATAATTAATCAAAATTATTTTGGAATTAATTCTGGGTTAATTAGAATTAATTAAAATTTGAAGGACTATATATGTGACTGTTCAAAACTTGAGCAGAGAACAAGTTCTAGAACCCTCCTGTATGGGACGGTTTTGAGACTGATATTGGAGACTTATGGAAGCCTTCATGTAGATAATCAAGGAACTATATAATTACCTTATTTGAAATAATATTATTTTTTGTTCAAATCAGGCTTTCTAGGTAGTTCCTTATCAACTATAAATAAAGACTTTGGCACTGAAATTTCCGGCCATGCTTTTCAAGAGAGAAAATCATAAAATTTCATACCTCTCCGCTCTCTCCTGTATCTTCTAGGGTTCTTGCATTGTTGGTGTTAACCATTAAAGGCTTTCACACAATTGAAGCTAGTTTCTAAGTGACTACTAGATTGATCAAAAGGTTTGTTTACAATAACAAATCAGAGGTATGTAATCATCCTTGTGAATTTCAATTTTAACTATGGTTAAAGTTTTGTTTTTCAATTGTATTTTGCTTCATAGAGTTATGATATAGATCTAAATTATGTTGCATGTACCCTTAAGAGTTTAAGGTATTTTCCGCATTATTACATGTAAAACCCGTCAATATTGAATATTTATTATTTATATGATTATTAATAAATAAGTTCAAGTCTTGTAATTAATTAGGGAATAATTATTATTTTATGAAAATAATATTTTCTAATATAGAAAAATAAATAGTAATTCATAATGTATGATTCAAATTTTGAATACTTTGTTTTGGACTTGTTGTAGTTCATTTATATAAAGTTGGTTTATATAAAAATAACATGAACATGATAGTTAAGATGGATAAGTGAAAGTCACTCCTAGTTTTGACTTTTATGTCAAAACCATGAACACAACATTAAGAGCTTTTGTTGCTTGTTGTCTTTCCTTCTTACACATTACATATCATAAAGAAGCTATACTTCCATTAAATGTAAGAATGGTGACATATATCTAAGACGTAGTATATAAGGAGACACATAAACTAGTTTCTGGGTTGATTCTTGTTCTTCCCTTTTCTTACTAGAGAGAACCTACATTCTCATCACTTCCTCATCTTCTTGTCTTTTGAAGCTAGTGAAGAATGGTGCTTATAAATGCTTATAATTTAGTGCTTAATTGTGTTAAGCACAAAACACTTAAGAACTACTTCACACAAGATGAGAACTAGCATTCCAAATGCCTTATTCCTAATGGTGGATACATTATAGTTGTGATAATCTTTGTAGTTCATGTATTTGGATCCTTTTTATGATTTTGTTAAAATGATCTAAAATAAACTAGTTATTTTAAATTATTTTGTTTGTCATTGTTAAATTTTTTTTTTATAAAAAATATCTTTTTTAGCTTCTCAAAACCCACCATAAATCTCCACACTTTATTAGTCCAAATTGTTCAAACAACAACCTTAATGCCTTGTTCCCGAGTTTATTTTATTTTTTGAGATTCAATAAATGAAAGGTATTGAGTAAAAAAAGGTTTAATCTTTGAATGATATCGAGTTAAGTGTGGAATTTATGGATCATTAATAAAGCTCAACAATAACTAGAATGTGGAATAATAAGGAAGAGATATAGCAACAAGTTTACTTATATATAAGCAGGTAAATGCTACTTTAGTTGAATCGTAATAGGGTTTGCATCTAAGACCAGGTTAGATCGTGATGAACAACTAAGTATGACAGATAATCATGATAAAGAGACTTATGTATTGATATAACACTTACACAGAAAAGATATCAGAAGTGGAGAGTCTTAATAGATTGATCAACAAGATCATCTATTTATAGGACAAAACATTTACACATTAAATTATAAAATAAAAGTAAGTTAGGCGACCTTATTGCCCATGACCGATGTGTGTAGTCCACCAAGAAATGTTAGGATAAAGCTGATCATTGTTTTATCACTGAAAAAAGACTAACAATATCTTTAGACTTTTCCTCTCCGGTATTGATCAACAACATACAAATCTCTTCGGTGCGCCTTATCTCCTCTTCAGTTCCTTGAATCATCAACTCTGCAGTATTGTTTACTCACTTTAGCTGCCGAGGGTAACTTTATGTCTTAAAAATTCCCCCCTAAGTGACCTCGCAACTTTCACAATCTACTTGTTGAGTTTGATGAACTTGATCAGGATCCACCAAAAAACTCTAACTTGAAATATCCATTTGATTCTTCTTTAAATTTCATGTTGTACCTCCTGAGTTGTGTATTTGGATTTTTCGGTTAGCAGAAGGATGTCTTATAGTTGTTTCTTGCTACAACGATGGAAGGATCGAGTAGGGAGAAAGTTATTTGGAGCTCCCTTGTCTGTAGGGAAAATAATGTTGGGGTCTGGATTGTTGGTAGCTCCTAGACTCAGTTCATGTATGATTTCGGTGATGAAGTGTGGGGGTTCGAGAGATGGAAGTGCCAGTTTTACCTATAAGACTGGATGAATCGCGACATCAATAGTGGCAAAGTCACCAAGAAGTGATTGATGATAGGTGTTAACCCTTAGGTAACGAGTCTTCTTTTTATGATGTTTTTCAATCTTGTGACTCCATACTTTTGCAATTTGGAATAGCTCTTCGGGGTTCATCTTCAGAAAGTCAACTTGCATTCTGTAATACTCTTTGGTAAAGCGCACCAGAGTTTATTGGATGAATTGAGCTCTGAGAAATGATCCTGGCTTGTAGTTGGTGACGCCGATGTGTCATTGGACCAGATCTCATCCAGATGTGGTTTCTCGTGCTTGTTGTGAAAAAGATTTTATCTCTCGAACTCTATGGGCAATCTTCTATAATTAGGAATATGCAAATCAAAGTCTTTAAAAACCTTGTAGCAATTCCATTGGGGACAAGGTAATATCCCAATACATGTTTTCTCTTAGGGGAGAGTAGGTGAGATGAGGAACATAGTCTTCATCTTGAAGTCTACGACATGGATTTATCCATGAGATGATCAAGGTTTCATCAAAGGTTGTATCGACTCCCTGAGCATGCAAGATTTTGTAAACTAGTTTGGCAACCCTCCAATCTCTTTTCTTTTTCCTTGTGGCTGGGGAGTTGTTGGAGTGCTCAGAGGAGATAATCTCATATTCAATTGGATTTTCAGGGGATTTTGGAGGAGATTGAGCTGGGGATTCTAAAGGAGATTGAACTGGGGATTTGTGTCTTAGGGGAGAGGGGGTTTAGAGCTTTCTTTGGCAATGGTGATTTCCACTATTTTTTATTTTCCTCCTTTTGAGGAAGAAGGGTTCGCTTTTTTCCTTCAACAAATCTTTCAATTCGTCCATTTGGGGGAGGACCCTTGCAAACAGGAACATCGATTTCTCATTAACATCATTTTTTGTCATCAAGGCTGGATTTTTGATGTACTGAGAGAGATCTTTGCATACGGTGAGAGTTTCAGTAAGTGTTTCCTTTGTTGTGACCAAGCGTCGAAGACCTCTGATTGTTTCTTAAAGCTCTGCATATCCTGCTTCATAGGCTTCATGAGCTACATTAATCAGATCTGTGGTATTTTCAGTTTTTTCTATTTGGTCACCTTTTGGAGTTGTTCTTTGAGAGATTTGACTTCGGTGATGAATTCTTCTTCATTCTGCAAAAATTGTTCATGGCCCTTTTTTCTTTGTCCATCAAGAGCTTGAAGCCCTTGTTCAATCTTAAGAAGTAGTTATTGGAAAATAAGCGTTTATCAGGACTTAATTTGTAGAATTCATTGTTCAAGAGATTAAAGCACTGAGGGAGGAGGAGGTTGTGGTAGTTGTAACACCCGTAGATCAGGGCTAGTCACTTTAGAGACGATAAGCATCGAAAATGAATTTTTGATGAAAGATTATTTAGAATGATTAATCTTAAATAAGTTAGAGCATACGTTAGAAGGATTCCGTACATATAAAGAACGCCGAAATCCGAGTTATAACGAAGAAGTTATGACCTGTCGAAGTTTCGTGACAAAACCGGCACGACATAACGCGACGTAAAAAGTGAATTTACGTTGGAGCGATATTTAGCCTTAGCAATCTAAGCGAAATTTGTAGAATACGTTAAACCGTGAGCGTGCATAAAAAGAACTTCAAAATTTGACTTCGTATGAGGAAATTGTGATTTTTCTAAGTTTCGACTTAGTAGTATGCAGCCCGAAAACTCGATTTGAGATCGAGCGGTTTTTAGCCGAAACAATCTAAACAAGAATCGAAGATCTCGTTAATAGTAGTGAAATGATAAAAAGATAGGCGAAAACGGATGTAAAATGAAGAAGTTACGAATTTATAATGGAATTTTCCTATCCCGACCTACTAAATATAAATATTAAAAATAAATTTAAAACTAGCCGACAGAGTCTAAATGAAAGTTTTAGAGTGTAGTCTCACCTACGCGGGGATATAAAGAACGTCAAAAACGGAGCTCGTATGAGGGAGATATGAATTTTTGAAGTTTATTAAATAAATTCGATATTAAATTTAAATATAAATTTCCGATATTATCCAAATGGGAGTGGGGAGTCAGTGAGCTTATCCAGGTTACGCCCAGCGTAACCTTAATTACGCCCAACATAATTCGGTGGTTCAACACATATAAAAGGGATGCGAAGGCAGCCGAGTTCTTTGCTCATTTCTTCCCTTTCTCTCGCGTTTTTGCATCGTTTTTCGTGTAAGAAATATCCCGAAGCCCCGGTATCATTCCCGAGCCCGAAGCAAGTCCCGAGGCCCTGAAGATCCCGAAAAGTGAAATTCCCGAGCCGAAGCTCTACCCACGAAGAGCCCGGTTTTTGTGAAAATCTTACAGATCTACCGAAGAATACTACTTTTACAAGCCGTAGCGCTGTCCGATCATCTTCTGATCAAGTGAGTGTATAGTTACTTTCTTCTAACACATAATTATAAAGTATTAGCTATGAAATAAGTGTTATGTGTTATATATATTATTTGTCTATTTGAGATGGGCTTGGAATTGATGTTTTTTATACGGGTGTTAAATGATTTAAACTGTATATATGTATTTTATATCTACAAATGTGTCGGGTAGAACATGGGTAGATGAAATAGCGGCGACTATGAGACATAGTGCCTATTGAGTAAAGCCTTGATGACGATGCGACTTCGTGCCTATTGAGTAAAGCCTTGGTGACGATGCGACTTCGTGCCTATTTGATAAACCTTGGTGACGATGTGACTTTGTGCCCATTGTGTAAACCCTGGTGACTATGCGACGTAGTGCCTATTGTGTAAACCTTGGTGACTACGAGATGTAGTGCTATTGTATGAACCCTGGTGACTATGTGACATAGTGTATGTTGTATAAACCGTGGTAGCAAATGGACCTTGTGCCAATTCCTTAGGTAAATCCATAGGAATGAATGAACGAAGGATAGTGAATTCTTAGGATAAACCCTTGAGAAAATAAAGGAGATATGGGGATGGGTATTTGGGTTGATTGTTTGATAAGTGAATATAATAAATGTATTATTGTGGGTTGAAAACCCTATATGCTCACCAGGCTCCTAAAGCCTGACCCACTCAGTTTTCTTTGCATTACAGGTAAAGGCACAAGAGTATAAGTTGGTGGATCTGACGAGAGATTTTGGATTATAGATCAGTAGTTATAAATAACTGTTGTAAGGTCTATTTTATATTGTTTATGATTTTGGTCTGTATCGGAACATGACATCCCGAGATTTTGTTATTTAATGAAAATAGATTTCTTTAAGAAATGCTTTGATAAATTTAATTTTATTGTATTTTATTTTGGGAACAAATTCCGCAACTCTTTTTAATCAAATGATTACTCTGATTCTATAAAAACAAAGCATAAACAAATCAGTCTTTTCTGGCTGTGAAATTGGGGATGTCACAGTAGTGGAGTTATGGATTGGGATGGTTGTTGAAATGTTTGAACCGCATAAATAATTTGATCTATTTTGCTTTGGAGATAAAGAAATTATTTCCTTGTTATGGTCTGCTTCTTTTTCTTCTTATTCTCTTTGAGTTTAGAGGTAGAGAGTTGGGATCCACTAGATTATTTGAGGTCAATGAACATAGGGATTGATGTCGAGTTACACTTTGGTACTCCTGGTTCCTCGTTCACCTTGGTATAACTGTCATCGTCCATATTGAGAAATGGATTGATGTCGAGTTACACTTTGGTACTCCCATGGAATGATTCCTTTGGTGTTGATGACAACGATGGAGGAGGCGCTAAAGGTTGTGCACCTCTAGTCTAAGCCCCTACTCCGATGTGAACTTTACAGACATTTTCTTCCATCATCACCATCGAAGTTCTGGTTTGGTCCATATCATGAGCTTTCTTCATGTTGATGATAGTTGAAGCTATGTATAAGACCAATTTACAATTTTCTTTTTCTCTCTTTTGTTTAATCAGCGGGGATTGCTCGTTCTTTCCTCTGATTGCTCTTTTATGAGCTTCAAACTTTTGGAGGTCTGCATCAGAGGCTGGTCTGTAACTTGTCCAACTATCCTCTGAAACATAAGAATCTATACCAATTACCACCCCGAGGTTCACAATTCTTTACCCAATAAGGCTCCATGTGCCTAATCTGTTAGATAGTAATGTAGGCGGTATAGGATTTCTAGATCTTCCTTGGTCTCCTTGGTCTAAAACCAAGTCTAGCCTCATATTTGATCTAGCTAGGGTAGCTAAAAAAGAACCCTACGGTGCATATTGTTTTTAATTTTTATGTGTATGTGAAGAAAAAATGGAGTTTAGCTATTGTAGAGTAAAGATGTTACTTTGTTTGCTCCCAAAGAACTTGGGAGGTTGATCAACATCAGGAGCCACTTGGAATCCTGATTGGGTTCTATCTCCAATCGAACGTTCTGAAACCGTTTCACTTGATGAATCAGAGTGGATGGGTGGGGTCTCTTTAGGTGACTCAACATTGAGTCCAATGGCTACCAGTGACTTTTGAGAGTCTACGGTATGACCCTTATGATGCTTTTTTCCAGTGGGAGAGGTAGTATAAGCTCTTTACTTCCTTAATAAAGTTTGAGAATTTTCAGGTTCTTCTTCATTTAAAGGGTCTGCAGTATGTTGAGGTTCTGATGTTGGGTGAACCTCGGTAGATGGTTTTTTCACTGCAAACCTTTTCCTCCAAGTTTTAGTGATTGCAACAGCTTTAGAGGTTTTCTTCCATGTAATATATTTGTTTCATTTTCCTTTAGTTGTAGTGACTGGGTCAATGGTTTTAGGAGGGGGGGGGGGGGGGACGGCGGGGTAGAATGATATGGTGGTTTATCGTTCGTAGCCTCTATATGGTCAGAGACCAATTGGGCGAGTAGTCCTCTTAGGTTAATATATGTGAAGGAAGTTGTCTAATTGGACGGAAGACAATTTTAACTTTGGGAAGAGAGTACCTTTTATGTGTTGGGTTATAACATTATGTTCACGACAGATGAAGAAGTTGATGTCCGCGCCTAGACTGATGTTGGCAGCGACATGAAGGTCTTTGATGCAGAAAGACCAGAAACAGGCCGAGGTGACTTCGGTGGGGCCCTGCCTTTGTTCATTCCTTCCAACATAACTCAAGAAGTCTTTCCACAAGATTGGCCCAAAATTCACTGGTTCCCCAGTGAAGATGCTCCATAAAAGATCAGAAAATTGCTTTCTCATAGTGTTTGTGTTGCCGATTCTGCCGGAAAGGCATCGAATAAGATAGCGACACACAAATTGCCACACAGCTGGGAGTTTTTCCTTTTTGAAATTGGAAACCCCTTTCAACTTGGAATGATAGCCCATCTGGTATAGGGCGTTGAATACTTCTTCATTTGAAGGGCTCTTAAAGATGGTTTTGGGGGTACCCAAAGATTGACCGAGTCAAGAAATTTGGCCTTAGTGAACGTCATCGTTGAATCTTCAGCAAAAATGAAGTTGGTGATTTTAGGGCCATCGATTGGTCGGTAGGGAGAGAAAACACATTTGAATAACAAAGGTAGAGAAACGATGTCATCCACTGAATTGAATGTGTTTAAGAGAAAACGTTTCTCCTTGTATCTATTCCGGATCTTGATCGGTTCATCATAGAAGTCATGATCTTGAAAGATTCCTCAATAATTTACCAGATTAATTGTTGGCCCTGGTGTATGTATAGTGAATGTTGAATTGGATGGTTTTTATTGTTTCAAGGAAACGCCTGATTTCACCATTGTTGATTGAAAAATAAATATGAAGAACTTGCCTGAAAGTTTTTTGTGCAAGAGGATAGAGAGAAAGATCGTCAGAGAATCGGAAAGCATAAAAGCTTTCTTGTGAAGAATAATAAGGGATTTTTACCTTTGGATTTGAAAAAATATTCAATTGGGTAAATTGTTGCTTTTTACCGTTGTAACCATGAAGGTAAAGGGTTTTTATCAGGTTTTGAAAATAATTAATTTTTAAATGAAATCTAAAAAAGACCCGCATTTAATGCTAAATGGGAGCATTAAATTAATTTAATGATGAATGGGTAATCATAGGTAGTGGTGTATGGGTAACTGT